CCAAAAACTCCCTTCCCAAGTGAACAATTACTGCTGGTACTGGATAAAAAGACAATGTTTACAGTTCTAAGAGACTACATAGTCTTAGGCAAAAATAGTTCAAGCAAAATCAATGAATCGATGGTTGAATTTGTGTTTGTCAGTGAGCCAGATCCATAAAATGAGCACATACAATTTATGAAGAAACAATTCATGGAAAAATGGCTCAGGAAATGCTTGAAACAGACAAGTATTGACCTTAATCCTGTTTTTATAACGTGATTTAACATATGAAAGAGCCCATTAATTTTTTTAAAAATTTTATTTCCTTGTTTTTGAGATTTTTCTCTCACAATTTATGGAAGAAATTATATACTTTGGTTACATCTCAAGATTTACAGTTAAAAATATCTAGAATCTCCTCATAATCTCTCTTTGTCTCTCTCTCTGTATCTCTTGGTATCTCTTGCTCTCTCTCAATGTCTGTCAATAAATTATGATGATCTTTAAGAGAAAATTTTAAAAATACATAAGCCTGGTATTGAATGTTTTGCAAAAATGGCAAGCAGATTCTAAGTTCAATTCTGAATGTGGAGAGGTGCACAAAACATCTGCAGGACAGTGTCTTTAAACCACCATTTCGATATATTGCAAAATAACTGTTGAATATGCATGTCCAATCTGTGAAAATAAAGTAACAAAACTGCTAAATGCAGAACGTTATTATTTAGAATCATATGGTAGCAATACATAGGGGATCCAGAAATTTCAAGCCCAAAATGAGAGCATATGATTTGACAACAATATGTACATTTATTATGACATAAGACAGAAGTTTTAAAAATACAAGTTATAGTTAAAAATTTTGGATGGCGTGATTACCATATATTTAATGTCACACGTAATTATTAACTTTCCTTTACTATATAATGCATAAGCCATAGTTCTTCCAGTAGGGGAATGTAAGAAAGTGGTGTACGTGTGACATTTTAAAAATATCCCATTATATTTTCTTTCAGCAGTTAAAAGAGGAATAATAAAAAAAACAAACAAAACTGGGTTTCCTCCTCTCCCTTTTGTCCGTAAATGTATGAATCTGAGTTTGCAGGGGAATGGTTGTGGGAAAATTGTGTTGTACTGGTAACTTTTTCAAAATCTGTACTAATCAGTGGGGAAAAAAAGACTGGAAAAGACTCAAATATCAGGTAGCTATATTTTTATTTGGACATGCCTTTTTCTATAGTTAGATGGAAGTTTTCCAGTGTCCATCAGCCCGTTGAGCTAAAAGTATATATACTGTACTCTAATAATGGCAGCAATTTTACAAATAAACACAAAGCATGTTTTGCACTATTTTAGTATTTACTGAATTATCTAGGGACACAAATGCTGTGTAAGTTAAGTAAAGATGTCCCTTATTCTGGTTAGCATTGTATGGGAGTCCTTAATACATATTTCGGATGTTTTATTACTATACATCACAGGTGTCAGTCAGCATTTGTAGGTGGCACATAGTTATTGGTAAAAACATCTCTTTTCCATTGTATATTTTTAGGTATTCATATGTGAGCATTTACATATTGAAATGAATTTTTTTAGTATTAATTATTTAAAATTCATGAGTATAGACAGTTATACTTACTCTGAGTTTTATTCCAAGGTAGTAAAGAAAGTGTTGCAAAATTTTTATTGCAAAAAGGGGGTATTGGATAAGAGAGAATGAAAACCAGTCTTAGATAAATGAGTTAATATATAATTATAAAATTCCTTGTTAGATAAAAAAGTAATTTAGTATTCTTTTCATTATAAAAAAAAATCTGTTTAATCCATGTGAATGACAGACACAGGGAAAGGGATAAGATAGAATATTCAACTGGATAATAATCTTCACTTTCATATATTACAGAGAGCTGAAATTCAATGTGCAAAATAGAATTGATTTTACCTCTAGACCTCTCCTCTCAGGCCCAAATCCATCCTTCCTCTTGGGACAGTTTTAATACTAACCACTAACTCTTAACCTGAATTTAGAAAATGAAATATTCTTTCATGCTGCTTAGTCCCTCATTTCCCAATGTCAAATGACAGCCAAATTTTATTGATTATACCACTGAAGTCCTCTCTCTCTCTCTCTCTCGCTTTTTTCCCATTTCTCCTCTTACTACTTACTACAGGTTTCTGATCCTTATCCATAAGTCATAAAAATAAAATATCAGATTTCAGAATAAAAAAAATTTACAAATTTTAGAAAGGCAATATTCTTCATCTCCCAGACACTGTGTAATATATCCAGTGAGCAACCTGTTCCCCAAAACACTATTATTTTAGAGGTTAGACATGTGAATATTTATACTAAATATTAAAAAATAAAGGGTTAAATAGCTTCATGACAGTTTAGTAAACAAACTGCCATCAAATAATTTCAAGTTAATTAATATTTTACCACCGACAAGAAAATAAAAATATTTCCATTTTTTGGAGTTTTCTGGATTTTAGAATTGCAGCTGAGGGACCATGAACTGTAATTCGAACTCTGCTAGTCTGTTACCTAGGCTAATGCAGCAGCTTCCTAGCTGGTCTTCATGTCTTCTATGTCTTCAGTGTTCCATCTATTACCCTTCTAAAACTGTGCTGTCCAACAGAGTAGCTGCTAGTCACATGTGGCTATTTAAAAGTAAATAAATTAAAACTAAATGCAAATAAAAGTTCAGTTCCCTCGTCGCACAGGGTACATTTCAAGAGCTCAATAACACTTATGGCCACTGGCTACAGAGCTGAACAATGCAGACACAGACATTTCCATCATCACTCATAGTTCCATTGGACAGTGCTGTTTGATCTGCCAAATGGATTAATGACCTTTCAGAAATCCTAAAACATACAGGATCTATTTCAAACTCCTTAAAATGTCATTCATAGACTTTCAGAATTTGGGCAATCTTACTAACATAACTTCAAGAGCTCAATAACACTTATGGCCACTGGCTACAGAGCTGAACAATGCAGACACAGACACTTCCATCATCACTCATAGTTCCATTGGACAGTGCTGTTTGATCTGCCAAATGGATTAATGACCTTTCAGAAATCCTAAAACATACAGGATGTATTTCAAACTCCTTAAAATGTCATTCATAGACTTTCAGAATTTGGGCAATCTTACTAACATAACCTTTCTCATGCCCCTTCTTAGTCTTATTGCTGCCAACATTGCTCATCTGTAATAATGTGAGTATAAATGCAAGTTGCTGGTAGACGTGTTGGGGAAAGCTGCGAAAGTGTTATTTTTCTTCCTATGGTTCTATTTTTTAATGAAATAGGTGGGTGTAATGATCAGCGAGGAGATTGGAGGTTGCAGGTTGTCTTTTGCTTGTTTTTGTTTGTTTCTTTGTTTCCTTTAGCCACATTCAAATGCATTCAAATGCATGGAAGTTAACATCAAGAAGACAGGGAGTTAGATTTAATGAGGCATGACTTTTGACAAACAAATCCAACTAATGGAGAAAGGGTCCAATTGAGGTGTAACTGAGGGCATGTATTATACTGGTATGTCATGAAATTCTAATAGGTTAATTAGGAAAGGGGGTAAATGACTGAAAATTTTGTAGGAAGAATGAATTTGCTTAGCCCAGTGTAGACAAAACACAGTTGAAGTTCTGTATTACGGGGTGTGAGCTAAAAAGTTGAGAGTTGGTGGTCAGAGAGAGAGGCAGTAGAATTAGGGATTAC